AAGGAAGAAAGGAGAAGAAGGAGGGAGAGCTTGTACATAAACAGGCCCATGGTTAATTTGGTTCAATGAGTATGATATCTACTAAACTTTACAAGTTTGGCATTGTTTGAATGCTCTGATATGTTTTAAGTTCTCTTTTAGTTGAATGACATTTTCACATTATTTCATACTAGCTTTCCACAATTAGGTACCTCATGCTTTACCACCTGGTAATTACTTGTAAGTTGAGAATAACATTTGATAAAAGCTAAACTATTGCTTTTGATCTTCCTCCAGTTAATTTGAATGTGTTTTCAGATTTCTCATGTGAAATTTTTAAAATATAGTTTAGCCAAAAATTTTTTACAGTTGTTTCATAGTACTGTTCATGTCTACATACAATGTGAAGGTAAAATTTGTTTTCCTCTAAAAAATTTTTTCTCAAAAAGTTGATATTTCTCAATATGCCAGTGAACTTGGTGAACTTGTGAGACTGCAGGATTATATTCATTCCATAATCCCATAATTTTAAACATTCAACATCTAATTTGATGTACATTCTAAATATGACTGTTCTAAAATGATGATTAGGTTAGGAGATATTGTTCTGGCTTGTTCCCAAATAGTCATCATATTATTATCTTACTCCATTTTTTTAAAATCGTATGAGCCCACCACAACAATTGTGATGTGGGGAAAATGTATTTAAGTACGTAATCTTGGTCATATTGTATGGAAATATAATAGCTATATTAAACCCATTCTCTAGGATGGATTGTACTATTTGTATTAGTTCACTAGCCTTTTCAATGCTCAATGAAATGTTTTAATCATTTTTGTTATTGTTGTTCATTCACAAAGCATGATTTCATCTGTAGTTTCCTTCCTTGAAGGATTTATTGGCCTATGTAAGCTTGGAGTGTTCTCTAGATGCTCTCCACCACATTACTTAAAATATATTTAAAATAGAACTGGTATTAGAGCCCAGTCTCTAAGGAAGCCCATTGTTTACATTTGTTTCTTGTAAAGATCTGACCCCTCATGCCCTACACATTTTATTATTTGTGCTTCCTTTTCCTTTGGGAGGTGGATTTGGGGGAGGGCAGGGAGTATGTCTTACCTTGTATTTTCCATAATTCCTAACTAAGCACATCATAAATATTCATTGAATGGAATGTCAATTTTCTATAACGGTAAAACAGTTTGCTCCTATTTCCAGTCCTATGGTGATTTAATTAAAACATAATAGCCTTGGTGTAAAACAACTTCCTCCAAGACATTTTGGAAGCTTAAACCAGCCATATTCTCAGTGTCTGTTTTTCCACATAAATATGTATCATCTCAAAGAAATCTATTCAATTAGTCAGGCATGATTTATGCTTAGGAAAACCGCATAACCTTTTCTCAAATAGATTATGTTAGTGAAAGCGTTAAGTGAGTCTGCCCTTTATTTTATTTATATGCATTTTTTACCAGCCAGTCTTTTTTGATGCTGGGCACTGAAAGGCCTATCAGGGGATGCTTCTCCTTAGAGCATTTACAGTTTCAAGGCATTCAGAATGCTTGTGCAGCTGATTGCAAAGTGCAACCAGGCACACGTTCTCTCCTTTGAAAGGCATACAAAAGTCAATTGAGCACAATAGCCAAAAGGTTTCCACAAAAGATGGAAACAACCCAAATATCCATCACCAGATGAAGTGATAAACAAATGGGGCATATACATGCAATAAAATATTATTCAGCCATAAAAAGGAATAAAGTTCTGGCACATGCTACAACACAGATGAACCCGGAAAACATTATGTTAAGTGAGGTTACTCAGATATGAAATGACAAATAAAATATTGTATGATTCCACTTACATGAAGTACCCACAATAGGCAAATTCATAGAGCTAAATTGTGCATGAAAGGATACCAGGGACGTGTGGGAAGAGGAAATAGGGAGTTATTGCTTAATAGTTACAGAGTTTCTTTTTAGGGTGATGAAACTTCCGAAATACTGGTGATGGTTGCACAAGACTGTGAATATAATTAATGCCACCAAATTGTATATTTTAAAATAGTCAAAATGGAAAATAACATTCCAAAGATCTTACTGCAATTTGAATAATGATGTAATATATCAAAAAACCATCTTTGTGCATTTTAAATGTGCGAACTGCACAGTATATGAGTTATATCTCCATTAAACTGTTTAAAAACAAAGTCACTTGAAGGTTGAAGAGTGGGAACATAGGACCCTTTAGTGCTCTTGCTGTCCTTTCCTTAAAAGAACACACCTAATGTAGATGATGGCGTGATGGGGACAGCAAAACCACCACGGCACGTGTATAACTATGTAACAGACCTGCAGGTTCTGCACATGGACCCCAGATCTTAAAATATAATAAAAAATAAAATTTCTAAGTATGAAAAAAGAATAGATGGAAATAATAATAATAGTAAATGAAAATAAAAAGTTGGCCAACCTCACTGTGAAAACCTAGGTCTGGGCACATTCTGGGAAATGTGTGGGAATCAATGCCTGGCTGGTATTCCATAATGCCCAATCAACATTCATGCATTTAAACATTTGCAAAATAAGTTTTCCATTGGAAAGACTCATTAAATATATTCCATTTCGCCCTCTATCTTGGCAGAGCTGGTGATATTTCCAGAATGCCTTTAGGTGTCTGTAATGGATCATTTCTGCCCTGTCCCCACACCCCTCCTCTAGGAACTTTGCAAACTTCAAGGATTGCTTTGTGATCTCAAGGGCCCCCTGGTAGTCTGTGAGCTGTGTGGCTTTGCCAAGATTGTTACCCTGCCAAGTCTTCGGCTTCCAAAAGACTAGCCAGGGCTTCCTCATTTGATGAAAGTACAGAAAAAGGCCATGTGCTTGGCGGACTTGCCCAATTCCCTCTGCTTCATAGCAAAAATAAATCTCTAAAGAAGTTCAAGGGAGAGTTACCATCTGGTCAGACTCCTGGCTTTCTCAATATGGCTCCCAACACCTACTGCCAAGTGTCAGGAGGGCTTCCTGTGCTGGACAGAGGCTGGCGTCAGTGTTCAGTGCCAATATGCTCAAGTCAGATGGGAGCCTGATGACGTGGGGATCGTCAGACTGGTTTCAACCTGCAGTCTTGTCCCTGCCACTGGCACATTCACAAAAGGGTCAACATTTCAGCAATAAAAGTTGGAACAATTTCATAGCTGGCTCTATCACTGCAGACTATCTGTTAATTTCTTGAAGAACCTGTTAGACATCCAACTAAAAACCTACCCAATCACACTGAGTAATCCAGCACTGTGCATCCTAGATGACTCAGAGGCAGCACCATTGGAAAAAGCTGCAGAACTGTTTTTATAGTGCAGACACTTTCTCTGCAGCGACTTTGGCCAGCTTCCTGCACACTCAGATCTTCAATTCTAAAAGCCAAGCCAGCTTTTCTTTTTGTTCAGGGCTGTTCATGCTATAAAAGTTCACATCTAGTAAGAGACTTTTGTTTGAGAGAAAATGGTTATCTGAAACTTGGGCACTTATTGCATTGTTAGATGAACCTTAAAGATCTGGTTGATTTAAACGTTAATCTGTGTTTCCTCATGGATGTTTTGTCTTTAATATCTAAGATTAGCAGTAATGTCAAAATATTGAACTATACTAATGTTTCATATTTTTATGAAGATTGGAAGTCACTGATAGGGTACACAACTTTTGAACCAAAAAGGTCAGTACAGGTATTGATCGACTTACAACCTATGCAGCTTACGACCATACAACTTTACGACCACAATTGCTAGCCATGACTGCTCCGCATCTGGCAGCACAAACGTTGCCCAGCTGGGCATACGGCAGTGTGGACCAGCTTCCGGCAGCACTACCATCTCCGTGTGCACCATTTCAACTGTTATCCCAGACTCGGTACGGCAATTTGTGTTTTGTGTCTTGGATATTTTTCATCAAACCCCTCCCAAGATGTCTACCAAGAGGAAATTGTCTTTGTCTACGCCTCAGCCTGCCAAGAAGGAAAGAAAGGCCATCTATCTCGACACGAAAATGAAGGTAATTAAGCAGTACGAAGGAGGAAAGAAAGTGAATGTGATTGCACGTGATACGAAGTTATCATTTCACAGTACTGTACATATAGCCTACTCAACTTACGACCAAATCGTGTTACGACCGGTCTGTCGGAGCCAATCGTGGTCATAAGTTGAGCACTAGCTGTATTACTTTTTGGAACTCCATGAGTAAATTTACTATTTTTATTATTGTCCTTTATGTTTATAAGTAAAGTCAGTACATGAATATTTTTCTTTTCTAACTAAAGACTCTCTTCTATAAGTTCTCCAACGAAGCAAAACATCTGTATGCAGTTGTCCTTCAAACCAAATTCTTGAGCACTGCATGCCACAAACCAAGCTTCAAGATCACACCCATCCGTGAGTGATTTCTTGTAGCTGGGCTGTGCTGCTGTTCCTTCAAATTCAACATCGCCACCCTTCATTGGCTTTCTCTCTGTCTTTTAACATATGCCTAGTATTCTTCATCCCCCTTCAAAAGCTAGAAGTCCCTAGGACAGTCCCTACTCCTTCTGCCTGTCTACCAAGTTGGGGAGAGGTTCCTGTTGGTCTTATCCTTGTTCCATCTTTCTCATGGTTACAGTGCCCCCAAATTCTATCACATAGATAACTACAAATTTTATTTCTTTCCATCGTGTTTTTTACCTATACATTTCGTCATGCTGAGTGTTTCTGAAAGTTACTTTTACTACATCTGCTATAAAATATTCAAAGGAAAAGAAAGAAAATGAAAAGAGAACAGTAAAAAGGGGAAGGGAAGCGAGGGAAGAGGATGGGGGGGAGAGGAAAGGGGAGGGGGGAGAGGAAAGGGGAGGGGGGAGAGAAAAGGGGAAGAGGGGAGAGGAGAAGAAAGGGGAGGGGGGAGAGGAAATGGGAAGAGGGGAGGGGAAAGGGAAGGAGGAGAGGAGAGAAGACAGAAGAGGACAGAAGAGAGGAGAGGAGGAAAGGGGAAGAAAGAAAAGCAGGAAGGAAGAGAGAATTCCTTATTGCTCTAGGTATCCTATAGAATAAAATGAAAATATACAGATATGTTGCTCAAATCCATTATGCAGGCACCTCTTTACTTTGCTACCCACCATCTCCCTTGGCAAGAAGATCAAGAAGGCACCCTTTCCACTAAGTTGCTCCAGTCCTCTTGTTATCCCCTTTCTGAAACAAACAAACAAGCAGACGCACCTTTCTTGGCCATCCCAAACCACTGTCTTCATGCCTCTAAGACCCTGTAGATTTCACTGAAGGTGTAGCTTTTATGATAAATTTTATTATTCTTTATTTTATTCTGATACTGTTTGTGTTTGTGTTTATATGTCCTGCATGCCAAGCTAGGTGTTGTATTGCCTGAGATGGTGTCTAGATCCTGGCACCCTCAATGGCTAATACACTGCTCTCTGTTCATTCATATTGATCAACACTTTCATTAGGTCTGTGATGTTCTTACTGGTTATCATGCTAGGCCTGAGGATGTCACGGGTGAATAAAACATTATCTACTCTCCTCGAAGTTATAGCTTATTGAAGAAGAAAGATGTGGATTGTTAAAGCTGCGGGATGTGTAAGTAACGTAGTTTACAGTACTACATACGTGTGTGTTACCAGGTGACTGTCTTAGTCTATCTCTGCTGCTCTAACAGAATAACCAAGACTGGGTAATTTATAAACAACAGGAATTTGTTGCTCACAGTTCAGGAGACTGAGAAGTCCAAAATCAAGGTGCCTACAGGTTCAGTGTCTGGCAACAGCCTGTTCCTCATAATTGTGCTGTCTAGGTATCCTCATCTGGCAAGACACAGGAGCAAAAAGCTAGCTTCTATGCTAGCTCTCCTTGCCCTTTTATAGAGCACCGATCTATCATGAAGGTGGAGAACTCATGACTTAATCGTTTCCCCCAAGGCCCCATCTTTTAACATCAACACAATGGGGATTACGTTTCAACATGAATTTTCAAGGGGACACACATTCAAACCACAGCGGGGACCAAACCTAGTCAGAGCAGCCCAGGAAAGCTTTATGAAGAAATGATATTTAAACTGAGATCTGAAAGGTGAACAGTAAAAAGTTAATAACTGGTAATATTTCTCTAATTTAAAAAAAACACAGGATGAACTGACTTTAAAGAGCTTGACAAAAGGTCAGAGAGGGATTTAGAGATTCAACCAATTTTTAGTTATGGCCGTTTCAATGCAAGTGAAGGACGATTAGTAAAAGAAATAGTATTTTATTTGATTTACGGCTTCTCTAAAATCTTCCTCAAGAATAAAGATGATTGTGTGTGTTGCTCTTTCTATGGTTTAGTATCTTGTTTTTTGTGTTTTTTTTCCATACTGAAATAAGCAGCTCCAGTTCAGCAGCTAGATTTGGAGACAGAATTGGAATTCTGAGTGAGATAGACCAGAAGACAAGAATTGAAGTAACGGAAGCAGGAACTTAAGGCAGAAGGCTACGTCAGGACCAGGGCTAAGAGAAATCAGAGTCGACAGATAGGGAGATAGGAGACTCCCACGGTTGAGCCCACAGTCAGGGCAAATGAAACTAGGCTAGTCTGTGAAACAGATAACCGACTGATGCTTAAAAGACAAAATGTGTAATCCCAGCACTTTGGGAGGCCGAGGCGGGTGGATCACGAGGTCAAGAGATTGAGACCATCCTGGTCAACATGGTGAAACCCCGTCTCTACTAAAAATACAAAAAATCAGCTGGGCATGGTGGCGCTTGCCTGTAATCCCAGCTACTCAGAAGGCTGAGGCAGGAGAATTGCCTGAACCCAGGAGGCGGAGGTTGCGGTGAGCCGAGATCGCGCCATTGCACTCCAGCCTGGGTAACAAGAGCGAAACTCCGTCTCCTCAAAAAAAAAAAAAAAAAAAAAAAAAAGAAACACACTCAAATCCTCACAACCACTTGGAAACTGAACAACTTGCTTCTGAGCATCGACTGGATAAACAATGAAATGAAGGCAGAAATAAAGATGCTCTTTGAAACCAATCAGAATGAAGACCCAACTTACCAGAATCTCTGGGACACCTTTAAAGCAGTATCAAGAGGGAAATTTATAGCAATAAATGCCCACATGAGAAACAAGGAAAGATCTAAAAGTGACATACTATCATCAAAATTGAAAGAGCTAAAGGAGCAAGATCAACAAAAACTCAAAACCTATTAGAAGACAAGAAATAACTAAGATCAGAGTCGAACAGAAGGAGATAGAGACACAAAAAACCCTTCAAAACATCAATAAATCCAGGAGCTGGTTTTTTGAAAAGATGAACAAAATAGACTGCTAGCTGGACTAATAAAAAAGAAAAGAGAGAAGAATCAAATAGATGCAATAAAAAAAGATCAAGGGGATATCACCACTGATCTCGCAGAAATACAAACTGCCATCAGAGATTACTGCAAACAGCTCTATGCACATAAACCAGTAAACCAGGAAGAAATGGATAAATTCCTGGACACTGGTACTCTACCAAGACTACACCAGGAGGAAGTTGAAACCCTGAATAGAGCAATAACAAGGGCTGGAGTTGAGGCAGCAATCAATAGCCTACCAACCAAAAAAACCCCAGGTTCAGATGGGTTCACAGCCGAATTCGACCAGACATAAAAAAAAGGAGCCAGTCCTATTTCTTCTGAAACTATATCAAACAATACAAAAAGAGGGAATCTTCCTAACTCATTTTATGAGACCAGCATCATCCTGATACCAAAACCAGGGAGAGACTCAACTAAAAAAGAAAGCTTCAGGCCAATATCCATGATAAACATCAATGCAAAAATCTTCAATAAAATACTGGCAAATTGAATGCAACAGCACATCAAAATGATTATCCATCATGATCAATGCTTCATCCTGCGGGGGATGCAAGGCTGGTTCAACATATGAAAGTCCATAAATGTAATCCATCACATAAACAGAACCAAAGACAAAAACCACATGATTATCGCAATAGATGCAGGGAAGGCCTTCGACAAAATTTAACAGCGCTTCCTCCTAAAAACTCTAGGTATCGATGGAACATATCATAATATAATAAAAGCTATTTATGACAAACCTACAGCCAATATCATACGAAACAGACAAAAGCTGGAAGAATTCCCTTTGAAATCAGGCACTAGACAAGGATGCCCTCTCTCACCACTCCTATTCAGTATAGTATTGGAAGTTCTATACTGGAAGTATTGGAAGCCAGAGCAATCAGGCAAGAAAAAAAAAAAAAAAGCATATTCAATTAGGGACGGGGGAAGTCAAACTGTCTCTATTTGCAGCTGACATGATTGTATATTTAGAAGGCCTCATGGCCTAAAATCTCCCGAAACCGATAAGCAATTTCAGCAAAGTCTCAGGATACAAAATCAGTGTGTGGAAATCACAAGCATTTCTATACACCAATAACAGACTAACAGAGAGCCAAATCATGAGAGAACTCCCATTCACGATTGCTACAAAGAGAATAAAACACCTAGGAATACAGCTAACAAAGGATGTAAAGGACCTCTTCAAGGAGAACTACAATCTACTGCTCAATGAAATAAGAGAGGACTCAAACAGATGGAGAAACATTCCATAGATATGGTTAGGAAGAATCAATATCATGAAAATGGCCATACTGCCCAAAGTAATTTATAGATTCAATGCCATCCCCATCAAGCTACCAATGACCTTCTTCACAGAACTGGGAAAAACCACCTTAAACTTCATATGGAATCACAAGAGAGCCTGCATAGCCAAGACAGTCCTAAGCAAAAAGAACAAAGCCAGAAGCATCACACTGCCGGACTTCAAACTATACTACAAGGCTACAGTAATTAAAACAGCCTGGTACTGATACCAAAACAGAGACATAGACCAATGGCACAGAACAGATGCCTCAGAAGCAACACCACACATCTACAACCATCTGATCTTTGACAAACCTGACAAAAACAAGCAATGGGGAAAAGACTCCATGTTTAATAAATGGTGTTGGGAAAACTGGCTAGCAATGTGCAGAAGGCAGAAACTGGACCCCTTCCTGTCACCTTACGCTAAAATTAACTCCATAGGGATTAAAGACTTAAACATAAAACCTAACATCATAAAAACCGTAGAAGAAAACATAGGTAACACCATTCAGGACATAGGCATAGGCAAGGACTTCATGACTAAAACACCAAAAGCAATGGCAACAAAAGCCAAGCTAAACAAATGGGATCTAATTAAACTCCAGAGCTTCTGTAAAGCAAAAGAAACCATCATTAGAGCAAACTGGCAACCAACAGAATGGGCAAATATTTTTGCAGTCTACCCATCTGACAAAGGGCTAATATCCAGAATCTGCAAAAAACTAAAACAGATATACAAGAAAAAAGCAAACAAACCCATTCAAAAGTGGGCAAAGGATATGAGCAGACACTTTTCAAAAGAAGACATATATGAGGCCAACAAACATATGAAAAAATGCCCATCATCACTGGTCATTAGAGAAATGCAAATCAAAACCATGTCGAGATGCCACCTCACACCAGTTAGAATGGCGATCATTAAAAAATCTGGAGACAACAGATGCTAGAGAGGATGTGGAGAAATAGAAACACTTTTACACAGTTGGTGGGAGTATAAATTAGTTCAACCATTGTGGAAGACAGTGGGGAGCTTCCTCAAGGACCTAGAAATAGCAATTCCATTTGACCCAACAATCCCATTACTGGGTATATATCCAAAGGATTATAAATCATTCTACTATAAGGACACATGCACAAATATGTTCATTGCAGCCCTGTGTACAATAGCAAAGACCTGGAACCAACCCAAATGCTCATCAATGATAGACCAGACAAAGAAAATGTGGCACATAGACACCATGGAATACTATGCAGCCATAAAAAATGATGAGTTTGTGTCCTTTGTAGGCACTTGGATGAATCTGGAAACCATCATTCTCAGCAAACTGACATAAGAACAGAAAACAAAACACCGGATGTTCTCACTCATAGGTGGGTATTGAACAATGAGAACATGTGGACTCAGGGAGAGGAGCATCACATACTGGGGGCAGTGGTGGGGGTGCTGGGGAAGGACAGCAGGGGTTGGGGAGGGATAACATAGGGAGAAATGCCAGATATAGTCAAAGGGAGAATAGAGGCAGCAAACCACCTGGTTATGTATACACCTATGCAACAACCCTGGATGACCTGCACATGTATCCCAGAACCTAAAGTAAAATTTTTTAAAAAAAGTGTCAAAAAAAACTTTCATGTGTTAGGAATTTTTTTTTTTAATGAAGAACATTTTCTGTTCTACTCAAAGTAGTGTAAATCAGTTGATCACAAATTATGAATGCTGATATTTGAAATATGCAAGTGTAAACTTAGACCGCTAGGGTAGGTGCTATCTTTTCATTATGCAAAACAAAACATAATAAGAGCAGAGTATTTCAATATGGAAAAAAAATGACTAAGGTTCATTTCAGTCTCTGTCATTTTAATTAGTTTGGAAATAGGACACAAAGTTGACAATGTTTTATTCATTAATTTTTTTTCTATCTACTCTACACGGCAGATGCTCATGATTTTCTTCATAAAGTAGAATTTTAGGGCAAAAAAAGGAGTGGGTATTTTTATTCTTATTGCTTTGGTTTTTTTATCATAAGGCCAGGTCCGGCACTGGGTTTGGTGTATGAGATATTGCATTCTCCTCTCTCCACCCCATCTCTCTCTCCAATAGCAGGTTGGTGTAGTTTACGCACAATTATAGGTCTTTATTTATTTATTTTTTGAGACAGAGTCTTGCTCTGTCACCCAGGCTGGAGTGCAGTGGTATGATCTTGGGCTCACTGCAACCTCCAACTACCAGGCTCAAGCGATCTCCTGCCTCAGCCTCCTGAGGAGCTGAAATTACACGTGTGTGCCACCATGCCCAGCTAATTTTTGTATTTTTAATAGAGGTGGGATTTCACCATGTTGGCCAGGCTGGTTTGGAACTCCTGACCTCAAGTGATCCACCTGCCTCAGCTTCCCAAAGTGCTGGGATTACAGGCGTGAGCCACCATGCCCGGCCTGTTAGAGGTAGTTTTATTTTCATTGGCCTATGACCCCCAAAGCCCTGCTGTAAAAACCCCAGGCCTCTGGGACCCACTCTGACCACAATGGAAACGTTGAAACCTGGCTTACCTGCTCTCTTGAGGGTCTTTTCAGTTTAGCAATTAGCTTCCCTGTCAGCCTCCACTCCAAAATAAACATACATGGATAGATACAAGCCTAACCCACCAAGACTGACCTGGTACTAAGACCAGTTACACCACAGCCTCCAGCAGAGCAGACCCTACCCTAAATTAGCAGAACAATCGTCAACCTGCACACACAGCCTGGGAATCAAAGTGCGGGGCTGTGTACCACTTTGTGGGTAGCTGACTACCCAGCATTATTGTGGCAATAACTAATCAGTGTAGTGCTTTAACCCATCCTGCTCCACTTTTTCCTTCAAAGCAGGTCTGAAGGAGGTAGTTTTCAATCAAAAAGCACTCTGGTTCAAACAAGCAGAAAAGAAATGGTTGCAGTTCTATCACTGAGAAACACTTCTATCATCCTGATGGTTGTACTTAAAGCTAAAAGGGAATTCATCACAGACCTTTCGGGCATTTTTCTCACAAAACATAGGCTCAAGGTTTTCACAGAAAATCAATAGATGAAGTAACTAACTAAAGCCATACTTAGGATAAGATGCAAACCTAGCTCTTTACAGTGATCACAGTTTGCATATTTCATGTTCCTTTAGAGGGAGAGATCAATCCCATGTTCTGGCAGGATTTTCATCTTGACTATGTTCTTTCTGGGTCATTATTCTTTCTGTTCAATTCACAGAAAACACATAGATTTCACTGCTACACCGAGGCATTTCACTGATGCAAGGACAAATTGCATGTGTTATGGATTAAAGGGAAGCAAAAAAGAAAGGAAGAAATCCTAAGTTTGGGACCTATGGCCATTGTTTACTCGGTGTCTTGCTTTGCGCTGGACACTCAGTCTTTCTCTTCTTTGTGCTCGCACGTATGGTGCAAGGGTGACATCTGCTCCACCTCCATCACAGTGCTGGTGTGAGAATGCCGTGTGATAATGCTATCAAGCTGCAAAGAGCTATACATCTGTTCCTCTGGGAAACAGATGGGAGGAAGCAATGCATCATAACATTGAAGAGCCTGGCTTTGAAGCCACGCAGACCTGGGATCCAACTCCAGCTCTATCATTTACTAGCTGTGTGATCTTGAAAAAGGTCTTTTTTCCACCATAAGCTACAGTTATTCCTAGAAAAGTTTGGTAATAGTGCCCATCTTGGAGTTGTGTGTACTACATGAGATCAGGAATGTAAAGCATTCAGCATGGTGTCTGGCACAAAGTAAAGGCTCTAGAATATGATAGGTGATTTCATTCCTAGGCATTGCTTTTCTTTTTCTTTTTTTTTTTGAAACGGAGTTTCGCTCTTGTTACCCAGGCTGGAGTGCAATGGTGCGATCTCGGCTCACCGCAACCTCCGCCTCCTGGATTCAGGCAATTCTCCGGCACGCGCCACCATGCCCAGCTGATTTTTTGTAGTTTTAGTAGAAACGGGGTTTCACCGTGTTGACCAGGATGGTCTCGATCTCTTGACCTCGTGATCCACTCGCCTCGGCCTCCCAAAGTGCTGGGATTACAGGCTTGAGCCACCGTGCCCGGCCGGCATTGCTTTTCAACACTTGTCGATCAATGCAATGGCGAAGGATACCCTCTGCCTTCACACTGTCCTTTGTACCAAGGAGAATGTCTAGAAATTGGTGGTTATCTTTGGCCCTTGGTCATAGAACTGCTGAACACTCATTATCTTCCTTTCGCTCCCTTCTGCTGTTGATGTCCAATGCTGCTTTATAATAGCAAAGACTTGAGACAAGAGTTTTTACCATTGCCTTTCTTTTGTGTCTCCTCCACCGGCTAGTGTCTCCAGTGGCTCATTATGCCTGATAATATCTGGATTACACTGAGTCCAGAAAGATCATCCTTGCCTCTTCACTAATGGCTGTCCCAAATCTAACTCTACATCATTTCTTATCTTTGCAGGTGGCAGCTAGGATGTGCCAGAACATAGCTATCATTGGTTCATTTGAGGGAAAACAAATCACTAGCGATGTGATCTGTTTCTAAATGTAAGATTAAAAAGCATATTATTATTATCTTTGTTTTTTTAAGACAGAGTCTCACTCTATCCCCTAGGCTGGAGAGCAGTGGTATGATCTTGGCTCACTGCAACTTCCACCTCCTGGGTTCAAACAATTCTCCTGTCTCAGCTTTCCAGGTAGCTGGGATTACAGGCATGCATCACCATGCCAGCCTAATTTTTGGTTTTTTAGTGGAGACAGGGTTTCACCGTGTTGACTAGGCTGGTCTCAAACTCCTGACTTCAAATGGTCCACCCACCTTGGCCTCCCAAACTGCTGATATTACAGGCATGAGCCACCACACCCAGCCAAAAAACACATTATTGATTGGTATATGAAAATAAAGCTCATATTCCACAAATACGGGAAATCAGGGACCATAAATTTTTATTTTCTCTATGAGTAGTAAACATCTCATGGATAGCTAGAGAATTTAAAAAATTCATGTATAAATTCTAGTCACTTATGAGCTAAAGTGTTCATTTTATAAACAAGCTGGCATCCTGTTAGATGTTATATGAAGTAAAATTTAATTAAGACATTTCAAAATATTTAGTTTCATCCCAAATATCATTCCATTCCTATGATAGAAAATTTAGAAAAATAAAGAGATGCTGGAAGAACAATCTAAAGTCAAACATAATCCTCGCACCTACAGATGATGACCATGTACACTTTGATGTACTTTCTTCATTTTTCTCTTTATGTTTTAATTTATAAAACTTGTATATATTTATAGTGTATGACATGTTGTGATAATATATATGTACACAAACTGTGGAATTGCCAAATCAAGTTAATTAACATATGCATGACCTCACAGGTTTACAATTTTTTTGTGGTAAGAACACTTAAAATCTACTTTCTTAGTAATTTTCAAATATACAGTATGTTGTTTTTAACTATAGTCACCATGTTGTACAATCAATTTCTTGACGTATTTCTCCCAACTGAAATTTTGTATTCTTTTACTAACATTTCCCCCATCTCCCACCCCACTCCCCTGACCCTAGACCCTGGTAACCACCACTTCCTTCTCTGCTTCTATGAGTTCAACTACTTCATATTCTACATAGAAGTGAGATCATGTGGTACTTGTCATTCTGTGCCTAGCTTATTTCACTTAACATAATGTCCTCCAGCTAATTCATGTTGTTGCAAATGGCAGGACCTCCTTTTTTATGGCTGAATAGTATTGCACTGTGTATCTAGTCACATTTTCTTTGTTCATTCATTTGTTGATAGACACTTAGGTGTGTTCCATGTCTTGGCTATGTTTAATAGAATTGCAAAAAGCATGAGAGTGCAAGCCAAGCACAGTGGCTCATACCTGTAATCCCAGTTACTTCAGAGCCTGAGGTAGGAGGATTGCTTGAGGCTAGGAATTCAAGATTGATAAACCTGGGAAACATAGCAAGACTTCATCGCTAAAAAAAAAAAAAAAAAAAAAACCCCAAAAAACACAACAAAAAAACTAGGCCTGGTGGCTTGCATCAGCATCAGTAGTCCCAGCTACTACAGAGGCTAAGCTGGAAGAATCACTTGAACCCAGGAGTTGGAGGCTTCAGTGAGCTATGATTGCACCACTGCACTTCAGCCTGGATGATAGAGATCTCAGCTCTTCAAAAACATAATGGGAGTTTAGATATCTCTTTGACATACTGACTTCATTTTCTTTGGATATATACCCAATAGTATCATTGCTAGATCAGATGGCAGTTTTATTTATTTATTTATTTATTTATTTATTTATTTTTGAGGAAACTCCACACTGTTTTTCTATGAGGGCTGTACTAATTTCCAATTGCTTTTTTGTGGAGAGTTTTAACTAGGTCATTTCCAAGTGTATTTTTGTCCTGTTCTGCTGAAGACTGGCTTACAGTAAAGACATGTGAATGTCACAAATCTAGACCCCTTCCAGAGTCATACTGAGCACTTAACACCTTTAGCTTTAGGATTTTCCAAGACTGTGAAAACTGGGCTCACTTTCCAAGGCATCTAGAAGGATTGTTTAAAGCACAATGCCGACAAATGCTCGCTGTCTTAAAAATGTGCCCCTAAACCTCAACTATTTGGCTAAAAAGTTAAGAGGCAAGTTTCAGCAAATTGACTTGTATAGTATTATTCTCAGTTCTGCTAGAAAGAGAGTAATAAATTGCAATTGACAATAGCACAGGCACCTTATTTGGATTTGTTTTCTTAGTGTCTTCCATTGGGATTTACAAGATCCACATGAGCTCTGAAAAAGCAACAATTTCCTGTCTATTAAGCCCCAAATGGAAAAATAACAAATACAATGAAAAACAGCAACCTAGTTGACAGATTAATATATATTAATCCCATCTCCATGGTTAAGAGATGGAAAATTATTATTGAATAAGACTCTTTCATCAAACCAAATATTTCCTAATGCTCCAAAGTACGTATCTGGCATTGCTTCCGCCTTACACATCTGCTTCTCTTTTTGAACTCTGATATTAATCTCAAGGTTGCATGCAGCTGTACAGTTCTAAGATAATTAGTTCTTTCCATTATACATTATGACTGATAGGGCAGACCTCAAAAACATTCAGAGCTTGGATTTGCATAAACTCCAGGCAGTTAGAAGACTTTCCCAAAATTCAAATCAATCTCCTGGAAAAACTTGTACAATTTCCAGATCCTTCCTGGAATATTTTATATTATACCTCTCTTAGAATATTTTCTCTTTTTTTCCTCATTTCTCTGCATTTTTATACTTAATTGCTGACAAAATTTCATGAATCTCTTTGGAATATTTCAGAGAAAATCAACCTGAAGTAGGTGACCCCAGCCCTTATAGGTAGGTATGCCAGCAAAGCATTGAGCTGGTTTTTATACAGTGTTAAACACGAAGCATTTTGACATTTCCTCCAGAGCTTCCAGATTTTGAAAACATCCATAAAAGAGTGGTTTTATAGTTATCTTCCCATAAGAGATGAAACCAATCATCCCCAAAGACATTGACAATGCTTCATGTCATGCATGAGTATTTCCTTCCGCAGTAGGGCAGTCATCCATAGAGTGGGTTTCAGGGCCTCTCAAAGAAAAAAGACTTGATTTTTGTTCTTGCTTTAGGTCAAATGCTTTGTGTCCACTGAAGGAGAGAGGAAGCCAAGAAGGAAGTGAGATGGAATCCTGACATCAGAGTGTCCAGGAGCTGGACTTCAAGCGAATAAAACATTCTAGAATGGAAGAATATTTTAAGCAAATTGCAGTGTTCCCTTCCAATAAATGCAAGCCAACTTGAACTGATCCAGCAATACCACCCAGGCAGCCATCATTTCTAAAACTCAGTTTCATGAACATGCTTTCAAAAGGAAATCTGTTTCCAATTTCAAAAGGAATGTGGTTTCAAAAGGAAAATTCTCTACAGCATTCTTATTTGATGTATACCTAGTGAAAAGATATATCATATCTTGGTTATTAATCCTCCAGAAAGACAGCCCTTCTCCTTAGAAATAAACAAATGAAATGGCAAAATGGCTGACCATGGTGTGGAAATGATTCTCAGGTGTGCTGATGGTTTGGAGTTCCTTTTTCTCTTTCTTGCATATTGTCCCTACTAGAAATACTGTAGATTCTGCTCAGACAATAACTATCATAGCTATCAAGCTTTCTGGTTCTTATATATACAAATTTTTTAATATGGAAGGTCACAGTATCTAAATATTTCTTTGCTTTTACAAAACCAAATTTCATAATCTGGCCAAAACCCTGCCAATAGTCTTAACCCAGTAGGAAAGTATGTTGTTTGTATTTGTTATTCTATGTGCTTTGTTTTGTTAAGTTGGCAGGAGGCCTGGGGGAAGTGCACGCATGTTATGAGATGGCTTGGTTTTTTTGTATTGTTTTGTTTTTTGTTTTTTGAGACAGAGTCTCCCTCTGTCACCCAAGCTGGAGTGCAATGTTGCGATCTTGGCTCACTGCAACCTCTGTCTCCCAGGTTCAAATGATTCTCCTGCCTCAGTCTCCCCAGTGGGTGGGATTACAAGTGCCTACCACCACACTCGGCTAATTTTTGTGTTTTTTAGTAAAGATAGGGTTTCCTCATGTTGGCCAGGCTGGCCTCGAACTCCTGACTTCAAGTGATCCTCCCAAAGTGCTGAGACATTAGGCATGAACTATCGCACCCAGCCAGACCACTGTTTTTTAATTTGTTCCCTTCTTTGACTTCCATGACGCCATGCTGGCCTGGTTTTCTTCCTGCCTTTCTGGACAATCTTTCTCTGTCTACACTGCCGGATGCTCCACTATCTGACACTCCTGTGTTAAAATTTATCAGGCATTATTCTTAAGTCTTCTGTTCTTCTTACTCCAGGCTCTTTTTGGGGTTAACAGTATTCACTTTCATAGCTCCCAGACTTATTCCTGAAGTCCAGATTTCTTTTTGGCAGGGATTGGAATCACATCCAAATGGCTACTAAAAAATTTAACTTCTCTGTCTCCAATTCAGTGTGCTGAATTGAGCTCTGATCTTCAAACCTGCTCCCCCTTCTTACTTCCCCATCTGAGGTAGATTAAAGATGCCCCCAATTTATTTGATACTAGTTTCATCCCCTGCCCTTATATCTGGACAAGCTTGTTCAGAGTGATGCTGCGCAGCTTCTGGGCCCAGCCTTTAAGAGGCTGGCACCTCCTACCTGCTATCTCTTGGAGTACTTGAAATATATAATATCTACAACCAGAATTTGTTACCTAAATGTAAGATGACACCATAACCAAATATCAAAACACAGTGTCAGCTCTGGGATCAGGCGGTGGGTGGAAGGTGAAAGTGATAGTTGATTAGGATTTGAAGTTGAAAGACAGCAAGGGAAATGCTGCAGAAGAAAATGACCTGTATTATGCGGCGGTGAAAAGTGTAGCAAAACTGTCGCCTGTAGAGTATGGTACAGAAAATGTCTAATAAGTTCATGGAGCTGGCTAAGGAGATTTCCAGGTAAAATGTCAAAAGGGCCATCTGGTTTCTTTTAGCTGCATGTGGTAAAATATAAGAAGAGAGAGATAAGCTTTAAAAAAAAAAGATTAAGCTTTCAACCTAAGTTTAGAGGAAATATAAAGAATACAGGACTTGCTGTGTTCAAAAATAAACTTTCTCACCGTCATTTTTACCCAGGGAAAAAAAATGTTCAAAGTGAAAAATGACTCTAGGGCAAAGACCAAATCCAGGCCTCTATCAGTAAACCGTGGTCTTAGGGCAAAGATTTCAAGAGTATGCCTATAAGATTCTTTGTTAAATTCAAAGACTTCAGAAAAATTTCAAGGTATACCTAGTAGGACTTCTGAGAATGAAAAGGCCTGCAATTAAGAATCATAGCTACTTTAGTTAAAATAACAGGGCTTTTAGGTGTTAAGGGCAATATTCCACAGCAGTGTCACCAGCTGCCCAAGGCACAGAAGGTGTGTCTTGGAAAGAATTGTGAGTGTGACTTCCATGTAATGAAATTGACTATAAATTGATAAACAAGAAACCCACAAATGTTTTAAAGAAATTATATCAGTTAGGAATGAAATGGAACAGTACACAGTAAAAAGAGACGTTTAGAACTCCCAAATGTCCATGGAAAGGAAGTAGGCTGAGAAAAGTACTTAGCTGCAACACAGATGATTTCTTAATGGAAGATGAAGGATGACTTCGGGGCTAGGACTAAAAACCAAGAGGACAGAGCCAATAGCTCTGCAGGATAATTTCCATAGAGTGGGAATTGCCCTAATCAAGAAACTGCAATGTGTGCTGTTGTGAACTATAAACTTGCAAATGACCAGTGCCTGCCACATGGTTGTGTTCTGTTTCTTTTAAATGAGACTATTACAGTTAGGCTAACCCCAGTCTACTGTTTTATGTTGAGTGGGGAACACTGAACTTCAGACTCATAGGAACTATACCTAATGAGCCTCACCTACACCTGAACCTGATTTCAGTGATAATGAGATCTTGGACTCTGAGTTGATGCCATAATGGGATTAGATTTGGGGGAGCTTTGGGAAAGGATGAGAGTATTTTTCACATGGAAGGAGAGTAAATCATTTGTAGCCAGACAAACAAATGATACATAAGGATGTATAAATGTATTGGAATATCTGTTTATGATGATAAATGGTATCCACAAATTCTTTGACTATTCACCCACTGCATCTGAGTAGGCTTGATGATTAGAATATGGCAAAAATAATTTTGTGCCAAATTTTTAGATCCATGTTTTAAGAGACTGGAAGCTTCCACTTCCTGTTTCTCAGAATACAAAGTTTTGCAATCTAACCATCTTTTTCAAGGAAGGCCAGGCCACATGGAGAGGGCCACATGTGAAGAAACTGAGGTCACTGGCCAAGAAGCCTGGGTTCCATCTGACAGCCAGAACCACCTTGCCAGCCAAGTAAGGGAATCATCTTGGAAAAAGAGTGAGGTGACTCAGTTTATATCACATGGGGTTGAAATGAACCATCCCCTTTTCGCCTTCAAACCCAAATTGCAAATTTGTAGGCAAAATAAATGGTTGTTGTCTTAAGCCACTAAATGTGAAAATGCTTTGTTATGGAGCAATAGATTACCAAAATAACTTCACAGTAATTGATACCATAATAAGCCATTACTCAAGACATTGGATGGAGCTCTTGACATCTTCCTCTTCCTTATGGGCTAAATTGATTTTGTTGCTTCAATGCTTCATAGGTTTCTCCAGATTGCATCCACCAGCTGTTAATGGCCTATTCTCTTAGTAAGAGGGAACTAGCTTATATTCAGCTAGCCAATAACCCAAATGAATGTCCTTATTCATATTCACTTATGTATTATGAGAATTATTTGCAATATATATACCAAGAGTAAAATAACTGGATTGTCAGGTATATAGGTAGTTAAGCAAAGTGGATATTAACGAATTGTTTTCTAGAATTGTTGCATCAGTTAATGCTCCCAGTGGAAATACACAAGCATTCTTTTTCTCAGCATCTTTACCAATTCATCATATTTTGATTACTTGTTACTATTCATCATCTTTTGCCAACAATATGGACATAAATTGATATCTGGATGTTTTAACTTTTCCTTTTTCTTATTATAATGCATCCTTGTTAACTATTCAGATTTCCTCTCTGATTTACACATTTTTGAGAAGAGTTCTCTTCTCTTAAAATTTCCAATATTTTTATTAATTGTCAGAAGTTCCATGTAGATTTTAGGTATTCATCTGGCTTTGCTTTCAGGAATGGAAAATAATACTCAGTTGCTGCCTTCTAATTTTATCCATCCATTCACTCGGTAAGTAGACATGCTTAATATGATACAGTTATATTCATCAATATTTTGTCTCCTGATGCTATGAAAACCTTTTGGCTTTTCATGTTTTTAAGAAGATCTTCTCTACTTTCAGGTTACAAGAACTTATATATTTCCTCCTCTTAGCTTTATGGCTTTAATTCTCATGTTTAGAAGCTTAAAGTCTCTGGAATCCATTAACTTTGTTATGGTGAAAAACAGGACCCAGCTTTTTATTTTTTCTTAACAAGGTGCAGTTCTCCCGGTACTATGTATTAAACAGTCTGATATTTCCTTGTTTTATTTTAAAGCAATCTAGCCATATTTCAGAAGCATTTGAATTGTCTCTCCTGTTTTTCTGGAATATTAGAAGTTTCTGTTCCAGCACCATTAAGTATTTATTACATCCTTTTCTTATCTATTTATACTGGCTGGAGCAAGTATCTTTCCTTTGATATTCTTTTCCAAATTTGACTTACCTACGAGAGGGTCTAGTTTTGGGGTTTTTTGTTAATCTATTTCATTTGGTTCTATATGAGCATTTTAACCTCTAATTCTGGAAATGTCTGAACATTTTTCCTAAAAATATTTTTCTTTTCTACTATTTGTCTTTATTATAAAGATATTTCTATTTCTCTTTGCCACATAGCTTAACTTTTATATCTTTCTCCTGTTTATGCCTTCCTGAAGACTTCTAAGAGTTTTTCTACCTCATCTTTCTGCTCACAAATTCTGCTCTCTTCTGCTCAAATTCTTTTGCTATTTATTCCCTTTGTTGGGTTTGTAATTTCAACTCTTGTATTTTCACGTCAATAATTTTCCTGGATTTAAAAAACGTAGATATTAGATCCTGCATTATGTGATTAGCATCTGCCCTTATTTCTTGGAGGATATTTATATATCATGCTTATTTTAAATGTTTCCCTGCTGTATTAATGCTTCTCCACCTGGCATAGATTGTATGATTTTGTTATCTCTCTTTGATGTATGTTGTAGGTCTCAGATAGATTTTAGAGTTAGATCTTAGGTAGGTGATCTTAGCTAGGTCATTGTTGAGCTAGCTAGGATGTTGTTGAGATGTAGTATATTCACAAATGAGAAGACTCAATATACCAAAGATTCCAGTTCTACTGAAATTAATCAGTGAATCCAGGTCATATTCCTTAGAGGTCCCCTCGCCGCTTCTTTGGGGAAGGAAACATTTTCCCTTCCTGGAGCACAAGGAAGGGTATTGTATGCCACTGTAGAGTGCTTTCACCTGTAGGAATACCCTCTCTGTCAATCTCTACCTTCATGGAAACACCCTCTTCCTCCAGAAAGAGGCGTTGGTACCACTGATTTTGATTTTGTACCACCTCCAGGAAAAAGGGTGTTTCCATGAAGGCAGGGATTAATAGAGAGGGCTTGAGCTGAATAGAGGAAATTTCCATGGCTGGCCACCTTGCTGCAACTGTTGATAAATGCTACTCTGTGCAGCAGGGCTTAGCAGTTGTGGCT